AGTTTGAAAAAACCGATTCAATCTCTCTTCTCACTACAAAAATGTGTGTGTATATATATATATATATATCTAATTATTTTCACAAATTTATATGTAATTCAGTACATTCTTTCATCATGTTGAAGGAGATTCAAAGAAGAGTCAAAACCACCAATAATTCCCCAAAACCTTACAAACTCCATAAAGCTTCACAACCACCTAACCCTTCAAGAATTTCAGTTTCAATGTCATTTACTTCAATGTCTTTGTTTTGCCTTATTTTCATGTTATCATTCAATGCCATTTGTGGCAGTGCTATCAAGCCTATCATTCTATATGAATCCCCTGAAAAACAAATCTAGATTTGGTAGTCTTGGAGTTCGATTTTGGAGAATGAATATGGTAGTTGTGTTGTGGCTGTAGTGGTGAAGATGGTGGCTGTGATGGTATGGATATGACGATAGTGGTTGAGATTGTAAGGAAGATGGAAGCGATGAAGGATGAGAGAGATTGAATAAAGGTATTGGCTAACTATGGTAAATTGACTATTAAAGTTAACATTATTAAATATGATTAAATCTGATAAAGTAATAAAGTTTAATTGACTAATTAAGTTTTGGTTAGTTGAAAAGTCCATTGTTTTGGACCGCATGAGAGCCTTCCTGATCTCATTATTGTTATATAAATATTAATTAACATAAACAAAAATATCAAAATAAAGAACTTTGAGAGAGAAGACAGAATGTAGAGAGAAAAAGCTTTCTTTACTTCCTTTTGCTTTTTCTATACATATCGGATACACACCAATACCCATATATATATATATAGCCATAAGCCAAGCTTACAAAGCAAGCTAAGGAAACAACTTACTTATATGTATTTAATGTGTTCATACCTACAACATTATATATACAATGAAGGTATATACATAATTTAAACTTGCGTACCAAATTCCCTCAATAGTGGGCCACACTACTAATTCCATTTCTTCCAAATTTTCATAAATAGTGAACCCTACACCATATATATATAAATATAACAATTATTATAATTTTTGATTTTAGATGGATAAAAGCTTGTAATAATTGTAAATCCTCTAATTTATTTTGGAAATTCTTTAAATTTAGATTATTTTATTTTGTTAGTAGACATGCATGAAGGTTAGATATTATATATATATATATATATATATATATATATATATATATATATATATATATTATATGAAATCATCTATTAAGCTTTTTATAGAATAAATAATTAAATGAATAAATTAGGTCATCGTATTTTGAAATACAGATGTAAACATAGATTTCTTTCGAACTGTAGTATTACATGCACGAGGAGTCTATAATGTGGAGAGAATCTTATAGAGAGATATTGGGAGAAAGAGAGAATTTGGAATCGTGTGTGAGAATTTTAAAAAGGAAGAGGTGATTTTGAGTCAAATAGAGGTTATGAAGTTGAGTCTTTTATATAATGTGTGAAATATGGATCAAAATAGGTGATTCATATTCAACCCATTTAACCCTCTATAAAAATGGGTTGAATATGGGTCACCCATTTTAACCCATATTTTAATATAATTGACCCATATCCATTTCAAAGCGGAAGGATATGGGCGGGTTGGTGGGTTATGACCTATTTTGCCACCTCTAGATGTCGTGTACAACTTACATTGACTTAAATTACAAATTGTTTCGGATGTTATGTACAAAAGTATTTGCATAATAAAGAAACTTAAAAGTAGACAAATAATTAAACAAAAAAAAAAAAATGTCAGTCCGAAACATATTCGAAATTGATCTGCAAATCTTTGTATCTAGTTTAAACCCTAATTATTTACCCAAGAAGAAAACAAATAAGCGAAGATTACTTTCTTTTTTCTAGGTATCGTCCACCTATCTCCTTTCCTTCTTAGTAATTATATTCCTTTTTCTGCCATTGATTTTTCTGGTAATTAAAGGATTTGTTTGAAAAAAAAAGAAAAAAAACTTGAAAATTATGTACTTTGATTCTTTTTGTTTCTTTTTGGAAACAAATAAATATCTGATTTATTTTGGAAGAGGAGAAAGCAAAATGGGCGTCTCGTTAGCTGGTAATTGAGAAGAGATGGGGAGAAGAAGGAGACGTATTTGTGATATATATACCATATATATGACTCACTTAATGAATACAACGAGCTTACTTGTTAGAAAACGGAGCGCTCCACTAAAATTATCCATAATGCTAGTAAATGGTGAACGGGTTGAAGAATCACTATTTTCAAAATCGTCTTCCAACCCAACCACCTCTCTTCACACGCTTAAGGCTTGTTTGAGAAGTGTTCTAATGTGTTTTGTAATGTTCCAGACTTGCTACAGTAGACCATTTTGAGAACAAAACATGTTTGGGCCAGTTTATTTTGTTTTCAATAGTAGCAGAACACTTTCAAAACAAATCCATTATTTGGCCCAAAAGCTGGAACAACAATTTGGTGTTTTATGTTCTTCTAAGCCCATTTTTTACTGTAGTGGGGGTAATAATAAATTTTTTTTTTAGGGCAAATCATTTCAGCCTCCCAACCGCTTCCATCTATTCTAGTTCTCAACTCTGGAACTTGCCCCCCCCCCCCCCCCCTCTCTCTGCAACTGCAAACTACAAAATCTACAAGAATCAGAAGTTCAAAACCCGCCTCCATCTTTATTCTCATTCTCAACTTTGAACTTGCCCTCTCCCTCTCTCTCTCTCTCTCTCTGCCTTTGCAAACTACAAAATCTACAAGAATCAGATGTTCAAATCCCATATCTTTCAGTTTATCTATGTGTTTGCAAGAATCAAAACCCATATTGGCATATCATTTCAGATTGTTCAAAACCCATATCGGCATATTATTTCAGAAGTTCAAAACCCACATCAGCATATCATTTCAGATTGTTCAGAAAATCAAAACCCATTTACATGTAATGTGCGAAACAAAGAGAGGCTATTTTACAAAATCTTTTGCCTACATTTTCAAAGTGCACAGAAAATTTCTAATAACAATGAATGTTTACAACAAAAAACTCTCTTTACTCTCTTTCATTCTCACATTCGGCACTAATACTAGGGTTTACATAAGATCTAGTATTTATATTGAATCACTTTTAGGTAACAAATTTCGCGTCTCTTATTTACAATGATCGAAGTCTTAAATTTAATTAAGGAAACAAATTTCGCGTCTCTTATTTACAATGATCGAAGTCTTTGTGCCCTGCAATTGATTGAAGACCTCCTAAGTTTCAATTAATTGAAACTGACACCAATCTTGCGAAGGATACTAAGGGCTTGTTTGGGAGAGAGAGATTGGGTTCATGGATGTTTAGATGTTTTGATCTTCACCAAGTATGATTTGTTCTCATTTCAGAACACTACATTACAAAATACTTGTTTTGTTTTAAACTAAAACAAAACACTACAAAACACGATACTTTCCAAACGAGCCCTTAGGACCTGTTTGGAGTTTGTAATGTGGTATGGTGTAGTGCTCCAGAAGGTGAATAGTAACCCATTTTCAGAACACTACACGTTTGAGCCGGACTGTGTTGGTTTGCACAGTTGCAGAACACTTGGGAAAAAAGGCTGAATTCTTGGAACACCAAATTGTTGTTTTTGGTTGTTCCAACTTCATTCAAGGCCCAACTTTCACTGTAGCAAGAAGAACACTTCATCATACATGGTCTGATTTAAGAACAACTATAAAACACAAATAGGAACATGTTCTAGGTTTTACAAGCTGTCTCGCAGAAAGCAGCCACTCCACTACAGAGCAAATCGTGGCGAGCTTCAAATCGATGGATCTTGTAAATCCTGACACCGACTAGAACTTCAAATCGATGACTCGAACTTCAAATCGGCGACTACAACTTCAGATCTGATAAACGTCGGCCGCCGTCTGCAACTTCCAGCTAGCTCCAGCTTCTTCTCCAGCGACGGTTTCGCAATAAAAAGTCCACTCTTCTTCTCCCCAAGCTGTCTATCTCTATTTTCTCTGTCTCTCTCTCTCACACACACACACTGGAATACCCACAATATGTTCTCCACTACAGACAAATTCAGTCCTATCGAAAATGGCATGTATGTTATCATAAGTAGAAGTAGAGACGATTTTGGTTAAGTAGAAGTAGAGACGATATCTGTCGCTCCCCCTCTTTCTCACTCCTTGTCTGTATGCGAATTTTTTTTGTAATTAAAAAATTAATCTTCTGTCCGAGAAAAATGAAGAAAATGTTATATAGATATACACGTGTGGGTTCCAAAAATTTATTAAGTCATCCGTGTAATCATAGCCTTTATGGCTTACAAAGAAAGATTGCTATAGAAGCGTATTGAAGAAGCTATTATTAAAGCCTATAAAAGGCATTGGGCATGTACAATTTTGAAAAAATCTGAAGTCTCATTCTCTCTGTCTCTCTGTTCGTCCTCTCTCTTTCTCTCTGAGTCTCTTTGTTTGTCCTCTCTCTCTCTCCGTTCATTATTCTCTCGCTATATATTTACACATACACATATATTTATTACACGTTATCAGCACGACGCTCTATCCATTTGAGATTTGAATAAGAAGTTTTTTTTCCCTCTTTCTATCCCAACTATATATCTATTTTGTGATATTAGTTTTGATAGATTGTTTGGTTGATTTGCTTTATCAAAAAAAAAAAAATATTTCTGACTCCAAAGGGTAAGAAAAATTTAATTATAAATTATTATTCATAAAATAAATTTGTTCACTTAAATGGTATATGTGCTTACACTATGATCGGTTCTACCACATTTATTATTTACTGATCCACTAATTATGATCGGTCTTACCATCTTTATTATTTAATGTTTTATGGCTGATTTTACCGCCTTTATTGTTTAATAATTTATTTACTATGGCTGGATTGACCATTTTTGTTATTTAAATAATTTATATTACGTTATTATTTCATTTAATGTCATTTTATTTATATATTATGCTAAATTATATTTTTATATTATTGTCAAATCTAGTTATTCTGAAAATGTCAAATCTGACAAAGCTAGAATTCGTGGCTCTGGATATTTCTGGCAAAAATTATTTATCGTGGATTCTAAATGCTCAGATCTATTTGGATGCCATGGGCCTTGGAGACACAATTAAAGAAAACAATGATGCATCATTGCAAGATAAAGCAAAGGCCATGATTTTCTTCCAGCGCCATATTAGTGAGGAACTGAAAACTGAAAACTGAATACCTCACTGAAAGAAAGATATGATCATCAAAAAACAGTGAAACAATTTGAAAGAAAGATATGATCATCAAAAAACAGTCATCCTCCCAAAGGTCAGGGCTGATTGGCTGCAACTGAGGTTGCAAGATTTTAAAACTGTGGCTGAATATAACTCTACTTCATTCAAAATCAGCTCTACGTTGAAATTATGTGGTGATACTGTTACTGATGAACTTTTGCTAGAAAAAACATTTACCACATTTCATGCCTCGAATGTACTCTTGCAACAACAATATCGAGAGCGTAGATTTAAAAAATATTCAGAGCTGATATCATGTTTGCTTGTGGCAGAGCAAAACAATGAGCTTTTGTTGAGAAACCACCAGTCCCGTCCAACTGGATCGACACCGATTCCTGAAACATATGTTGCCTTATCCCGTGGACGCGGACGCGGACGCGGACGTGGACGTGGTCGTGGTGGTAGAAATGAATATGGTCGTAGCAAAAATAACTACCACAATAATGAATATGGTCGTGGTAGAAATCATTCTTATTATCGTGAAGGATATCAATCCTCACATTTTCGCAATCAGAGATCCACACCATATCCTCAAAGGAAAGATCATCATGAAATGAAATAAGGAAAAGGGAAGGATGTGGCTCAACCTTCCAATGCACACGATAATACTTGTTATCGGTGTGGCATGACAGGGCATTGGCAAAATATTTGTCGTACACCTAAGTATCTGGCTGAACTTTACCAAGCCTCAAATGAAAGAAAAAGGAAAACAAAAGGAAATGAATTTCCTTGATCATGATGAGCCAGTTGACACCACAGATCTGGAAATGAATTTCATTAATCATGATGAGCTAGTTAACATCACAAATTTAGATGTATCAAATTTTTTTGAGGACCGTGATGAAAGGATAAATTTCCTGATTGGTGATAGAAATGTCCACACCAATTAATCTTATTTTCTTTTCATATTCTGTCTACTATGTTTTTATTTTCCTTGTATTTTCCTTGTATTAAAGTTTTTATCCTCTAGTTTGTATTAAAGTTTATTTTGTTATAAAGTTTCTTTTCTTATAAAGAAATTTGCATGAATAGGAATGGATTTGACTAGTTCCAATATAAATAGAAAAGACATATGTCTTGTAGATAGTGGAACAACACATACAATCCTTCGAGATCCAAAATATTTTTCCCACTTAATTCTGTCAGACGCCAGTGTCAGTACCATATCAGGTCCCACCGACTTGATTGAAGGCTCTGGACGAGCCAACATCATTTTACCACATGGAACAAGATTACAAATCAATGATGCCTTATATTTTACAAGATCTCGGAGAAATCTGTTAAGTTTTAAAGACATGCATCGTAATGGGTATCATATTGAGACCGCAAATGAAAGAAATATGGAATATCTCTACATTACTTCCATTACCTCGAGCAAGAAGCTGATATTAGAAAAACTCCCTGTTTTCTCTTTTGGGTTATACTATACAACCATTAGAACAATTTAGTCAAATGCTGTGATCCATAAAAAATCTTGTGACCCAAAACTTTTTATGTTTTGGCATGATCGACTTGGTCACCCAGGGAGTACAATGATGTGTCGAATTATTGAAAATTCACATGGTCACCCACTAAAGGATCAAAAAATTATCTTACCAAATAATAATCTATGCACCACCTGCTCACAAGGTAAGTTGATTATCAGATCATCCCCTTCAAAAATCATTGTTGAGTCTCCCCAATTTTTGCAACGAATTCACGGGGATATATTTAGGCTAATTCATCCACCCTGTGGACCATTTCGCTATTTTATGGTATTAATTGATGCCTCAACAAGATGGTCACATGTTTGTCTGCTTTCTACTCGTAATGTTGCATTTGCTAAATTTCTTGCTCAAATCATCAAATTACGGGCACACTTTCCTGATTACCCAATTAAGACAATCTGTCTTGATAATGCCACTGAATTTTCTTCTCAATTTTTTGATGATTATTGCATGTCAGTTGGAATTAATGTTGAACACCCTGTTGCACACACTCATACTCAAAATGGTATGGCTAAATCTTTTATTAAAAGACTTCAGTTAATTGGTCGTCCTTTGCTTATGCGAACAAAATTACCTATTTCTGCCTGGGGTCATGCCATATTACATGCTGCATCATTAGTTCGTATACGACCAACTGCTTATCATAAGTACTCACCATTACAACTTATTTTTGGTCAACAACCAAATATCTCCCACATACGAGTTTTTGGTTGTGCTGTATATGTTCCAATTGCACCACCCCAACGCATTAAAATGGGTTCTCAATGTAGACTTGGAATTTATGTTGGTTTTGATTCTCCATCTATTATTAGATATCTTGAACCCCTAACAGGTGATGTCTTTAAAGCACGATTTGCTGACTGTCATTTTGATGAGACTGTTTTCCCACCATTAGGGGGAGAAAAGGTACAGCAGCAACGTGATCTTACTTGGAATGCCCTGGAATTGTCTCATTTTGATCCTCGTACAAACCAATGTGAACGAGAAGTTCAGAGGATCATTTACTTGAAAAATGTTGCAAATCAATTACCTGACACATTTACTGATGCAAAGAAAGTGATAAAATCACATATACCAGCTGCAAATGTGACAGCACGAATTACTGTCCCCAAGGGACCTTTTGTCAGTAATGCAGCAAATGCATCTAAAACACGCCTGAAGCATGGCAGACCAGTTGGTATAAAATATACCGCTCATCGTAAGAGAAAATCACAAAGAAAAGTTGGCACTCCTGAAGAGGCCACAAAAGGAGCAACAAATATTATTGATCAATATGAGATAATAGCCTTTGATAAGGCAGAGGCTCTTGATGAGTCTCAGGTACCTAAAAATGATGAAATAATAAATATTGATAAGGCAAAAGCAACAGATAATGATATGGCCCTGGATGAGGCACATGCCCTTGATGAGGTAAAGGTACCTGAAAATGATGAGATCTCATTAAATTATGAAACGAGATGGAATAGAAATGAAATTGTTGTCGACAACATATTCTCATATCTCGTTGCTCTTGATATTGATAATGAGAATCTGGAACCTCAAAACGTAGAAGAATGTCGACGAAGAAATGATTGGCCAAAATAGAAAGAAGCAATACAAATAGAGCTAAATTCATTAGCTAAACGTGAAGTATTTGGACACCTGAGGGTGTTAATCCTGTTGGGTACAAATGGGTGTTTGCACGAAAACGTAATGAGAAAAATGAAATTGTGAGATACAAAGCTCGACTAGTAGCTCAAGGTAACTCACAGAAACCTAGTATTGATTATGAGGAAACATATTCTCCTGTAATTGATGCACCTATTTTTAGATTCATAATACATTTGGCGGTCACAGAAAGATTGCATATGCATCTAATGGACGTGGTTACAGCATATTTATATGGATCACTAGATAGTGATATTTATATGAAAATTCCAGAAGGATTTAAAGTGCCTGAAACAAAACCACGTAATATGTACTCGATAAAATTACAACGATCCTTATATGGATTGAAGCAATCTGGACAAATGTGGTATAATCGCCTTAGCGATTACTTACTCAAAGAAGGGTATGTGAACAGTCATATTTGTCCATGCATTTTTATTAACAAATCAGAATCTGGTTTTGTTATTGTTGTAGTATATGTTGATGATCTGAACCTTGTGGGAATATTGGACGAGACAATAACAAAATTCTGCCTTGGGTTACAGGTTGAACATTTTTCGAGCGGTATTCTCATCCATCAATCAACATATACAAAAAAGATTCTGAAACGTTTTCATATGGATAAAGCCTATCCATTGAGCTTTTCAATGGTTGTCCGATCACTTGACATCAAGAAAGATCCTTTTCGTCCTCGAGAGGATGATGAAGAACTCCTTGGTCCTGAGGTGCCCTATCTCAGTGCGATTGGTGCTCTTTTGTATCTTGCAAATTGTACAAGACCTGACATAATTTTTTCAGTCAATTTATTAGTAAGGTACAGTTCTGTACCAACTCGCAGACATTAGAATAGAATCAAACACATATTGCGATATCTTCGTAGTACAACTGATATGGGATTATTTTATTCAATAGCATCCAATTCTCAATTAATTGGATATGCAGATGCCGGCTATCTCTCTGACCCACATAAAGCCTATTCACAAACAGGATATGTGTTTACCTGTGGCGGTACAGCTATATTATGCGATATATGAAACAGACAATGATTGCCACATCTTCAAATCATTCTGAGATACTCATAATTCATGAGGCAAGCAGGGAATGCTTTTGGTTGAGATCAATGATCCAAGAACAACATGTGGTCTCTCATCAATAAAAGAAAGCCCAATAGTATTATATGAAGATAATGTGACATGCATTGCACAGATGAAAAAAGGGTATATTAAAAGTGACAGGACCAAGCACATCTCACCAAAATTCTTTTATGAACATGAACTCCAGAAAAAGGGTGATATTGGTATTCAGAAGATACGTTCATGTGAAAATCTAGCAGATCTATTCACTAAAACGCTTCCAACTACAACATTAAAGAAGCAAGTGCACAACATTGGAATGCGTCAACTAAAGGATCTTCAAGGTTGATCTAATGAGGGGGAGCAATTGATCAAAGAGGTATTGGCATGCTGTACTCTTTTTCCTTCGTCCAGGTTTTGTCCCACTGGGTTTTCCTGGCAAGGTTTTAATGAGGCAGTTTTAATCTATGCAATACCATTTTCAAGATACATAAGAATTCTGTACTCTTTTTCCTTCGCTAGGGTTTTGTCCCACTGGGTTTTTCTTAGCAAGGTTTTAACGAGGCATATTCTTAGTGTAGTTTTGTGGACTCCAAGGGGGAGTGTTATATAGATATACACTTGTTGTGGGCTCCACAAATTTATTAAGTCGTACATGTAATCATAGTCTTTATGGCTTACAAAGAAAGATTGCTATGGAAGCGTACTGAAGAAGCCATTATTGAAGCCTATAAAAGGCATTGGGCATGTACAATTTTGAAAAAAATTTAAAGTCTCATTCTCTTTTAGTCTCTCTGTTCGTCCTCTCTCTCTCTGAAGTCTCATTCTCTCTCAGTCTCTCTGTTCGTCCTCTCTCTCTCTCTCTCTCTCTGTGTTCGTTATTCTCTCTCTATATATTTACACATACACATATATTTATTACAGAAAAGAAAGAATCTATTTGTGATACATCCGTTTGGCTGCTGGGAAAATCAAGGAAAAAATATGTTTTATTTGGGAAATTTTTAATTGTGTTGTTTTGACCTAGAAAGTAAGCTGATAATTTGAATTGTGCTTTGTGTTCTCTTCAACAAAATAAGAATTGGACTACATTTGTAAAATGTTTGTACGTTTGGTAGCAGAGAAAAATGTATGGAAAAAAGGAAAAGAAATTAAAATTTTTAAAACAAATATATATATATTTTTACTTTTTGAAAATGAAAGTAATTCAGTTTTACTGATAATTTTTGCTCATTTTGAGAGTATTTTTAGATAAGCAAGTTTCAAAGATGGAAACGTTGGATTTTAATTTTATGGACATTCATTCTATAGATGTCCAGCTTGGGAGGTATACAATTTTCTTTGCATTAAAATTT